TTTGAAGAAGCTGTGGAAGTTCGTCTCAGGGGGAGGGCAGCAGGGAGACAGAGGGGAAGCAGCCCGCTGTAGCTTTAAAGGCGGTACTGAGTAGGGATCCGTTTGGAAGGACGTAGTTGACTAAAGGGATCCAAAGCTTGTTTTCCTTGAGTCTTTTTATTCTTCCTGTATCTAATCCCTTTAGAGCCTAAGGTCAACCCCTTTTTGTACTGCAATAACACTGTAATATATGCTTGCACTAATTCTTCTGGCACACCGAGCATGCAAGACCAATTTAAAGCTTTTTTCAGAAGAAAAACACTGTATTATTGTGTATATAGAAATACTGAGAGAGAATTTGAATTCTGTCTCCTGTATAAAAGCATGCATTGATTACCTGTATGTAGACCATGCTGTAAATGCTGCAGAGTACTGTAAAATCCTACACTTGAAACCACAATGAACAGGCAATGTCATCAAAAACAAACAAAACAGAAGCTGTGCAATGGATTTTGTGCCTTTTTTAAATCCATGTATGTTAATCCAGACAATCGGGAAAAAAAAGAAAAAAAAAAAAAAGCTTGTATACTACCAAAACCTTATTAAAGAATCGAAGGCAGCACCTTGGTGATGGCTGGGTTTTTTGTTTGCTTTCTTGCTTTGTTTTTCTACTCCCTTTGCTTTCCAGCTCTGGGAAGGTGTCCTTTGCTCATCCTTGGGTACATGGGAGCATTGGGCAGGGAGATGAAGGAGTTCTGGTAGAACAGGGAGCATTTAATTATCGTTTACCAATGTGATCACTGAAAACTTGCAGTTAAGACAGATCTGGGAATAGAAACAAAGTTCCGTGACTGTTGGAGACAAGTTTGATGCACTTTGGGAAGGCCACGCTGTGAATTCAATTTAGGTAAATTTAGGCTAGTACCAATTTCACTGACTTGAATCCAGTCATATCACAGCAGTGGGTTACAACTAGCCCCAACTTATCTAAGTTTTTAGAGCTCTGACTTGATGGTTACCAGCATCCAAACTGTCTAAACTTAAGCTAGTACAATTCAACATCTGTGAACACAGGAGAAACAGTTTATCCCATTTCTCTTGGTTTCTCACACTGGGCATCTTCCCCTGGCTGGCAGCGCGGTGTGCATAGGGTGGGTGGATGGCTCTCTCCCATTAGACATTTGACAAGGTCTTTAAGAACATCTGGTAAACTTCCAGCCCCTCCACTCCCCCAAACCCCAGGGAGATGGATGCAAAACTGTAGCTGTCCTGCAAGTAACATACTCCTGCCTGGGCCGCTCAATGGATCCGACCGTGCTCTGCCTTTCATCGTGACTCCTATTTGAAAGCAGTCTCTGCTGTAGAGCGGCATGAGGTTCAACCTCAATTGCTGTCGGTCTGTCTGGGATCAGGTCGGAAGAGGAAACACGCCGATAGACCCTGTCTGCTTTGGTGTGAAGTGCACAGTTACTAATTCAATGTTTTCCTGAAAGTTGCTGGGGAGCGAGGCTGCAGGCAGGAGGTGCATGCAAAGGCTGTGGTACCTGTGGAAGGGGTGGTGGAAACTTTCCCCCCCCTGCCCGAGAAGCACAGGACCCCAACTCCTGAAAGGCAGACAGCAGTTTGTACAGGCAGGTGACGGTCTGGGAGGAAGAGCTAGGGTTAGGCTGTGGTCTCTGACTCACGGGGTTGTACAACGTGCGAGTCCTTTTTCCCTCCTGGGAATTGTACTGGAGGGTCAGGCTTCTGCTGAGTCTGCATCTAGCAGGGTCCGAAGCCTGCCTGCTCCATGCTGAACGCCTCAAAGTCTGTGTTGGTTTGCCTTTGTAAGGCTGTTGGTATGTGGCAGGCGTGTACGTCCGTCAAACGCTGCAGAAGGACGCAGCGATGCCATAGTGGTCTATCTGAGACATGGTTTAGAGCACGGTCTGAAACAGAACGGTAGATAGAAGAGATGCGGCATTTTCTGGGTTTATGAGTTAGGCAAATATTGCCATTTTTTTTCGCTGTAACTGTTTTGGGGTTTTGTACAAATTAATGCATTTGAACTGTTTAAAACCCAAGAGATGGGAGATTTAAAAAAAAAAAAAACAAAAAAAAAACCCAAATAAATCCTACAGTTTAAGTGATTAGGCTCACACGGGGAACTGTTCCCTTTTTGCCACGTCAGTGCAGAGCTGCTCAAGAGAAGAGCTTTTCTGGTAGACCCTGCGCCTGCTCTGTGCCGTGCCGCAAACTGCTCTTTTGCGAGGCCATAGGCACAGGCCAGCTGTAGGTCTTCTCTATGTCCTCATGAGTCGTGACATCGCCAGAAAGCCATACAGGCAGAGCAGGTCTGTCGTCACTCTCCATTGCTGTAGGGACCTGAGCAGAGTGTGCATGACTTAGCATGGGGCAGGACACAGATGAGCACATTAACCAGCTGGATGCCGGTACTGCTCCTGAACCCACCAGCATGAGTCTGCTCCATGCTGCTGTCTGACAAGATCTTGTCTGGCTATGTTCCTGGTTACAAGGAGACCTGGGAACTTCTAATGCATGGTTATAAACTGGCTGTAGCAAAGTGGAGACTGCATCTTTGTTGATTTTTGCAGTATTTGCAGCATCACTGGGATGTAGGAACTTCACTGCTGCCCATATGCAACAGGTTAAGGAGTCCCCGTCTCCCAAAGGTAGGTGGAAGTCAAGCAATGACTGTCGTGCTTAGGGTGCAATGTCCATGCAGGGAAATATAAAACACACAGGGAAAATGAAATGACAGGCAGGAAGGCAGTCTGTTTGCTAAATACAGCAAGGAATTTGAACAGCCAGAGGTAGAAGTACGTGGAGGTTAGAAAACCATCTACAGCACAACTCAATGACAGCAAAGGAGAACCAGAGCAGAAGAAGGAAAGAACCATTGTTTTTATTACAGCAATGACGGAGGGTCCAGCTCCATGTCATACCTTATCGCTTAGTGCGATCTCATCTCAGAAAAACTTCTGATGTCTTGCAATGGGAAGAGCTGTTGAGGAAAGAGGGGTTGCTGGAGACAGGGCTGCTGGTGGTACAGACTGCAGGGCACTGAAACCGTATCTCTGGCCTGTATAGGATGTGCACTGCAGGGCTGGATTCTGTTCTCCTTGATCAAAAAGCAGATGAGATGCCACAAGTGCCTAAGAGCTGAGAGGAGATTTGAAGGTTTACATATGCAGAGAGAAACCAGCGATCCTCCAACCGTACCATCAACAACAGCATCTAGAAAATGGGGTGAAGTAGAGCAGCAGGTGAACAGGTTGTTGGGGATGGGGTACTCTTTCCAGTGGGAGGCTCAGCCCAAGGCAAGGTGTTGGTCAGGGCTTCTTTATCAGGTCCCAGTCTCACTGGGGAAGCGCGTCTGTTTGATCAGAACTCCAGGGATAGCACTGTGGGTGTATTTCTTGGGAAAACCAAATCCAGCCAACAGGCAGCATCCAGTCTTTGGCTGCTGAATGGATTCATTTCCAAGAAATGTCTGAGGGAGGAAACCAAGTGGGTAATTCCCTTTGCAGAGGGTGGTAAGTCCCTCTTAAGTCCAAGTTCCATGTCTGCCATCATGATACAAAAGGTAGAGTGGGTCAGTGAAAGCCTAAATCAGGCTAATACTGGCCCACCTTCAGGACCAGGCTTCAGCTTTAATGAAAGAAGAGAAGCAGCTTTGGACTCCAGAGGCATTGCCAAACCCAGCCTGTGTTTTAATTATAAGATATAAAAATAAATATTAAATGGATAGCAACTTATCACCATGCATAACAGCTTGATGCTGCCCACCAATCTGTTTGAAATGTCCCTGTTGTACATGAACATAGAGATCTTACATTTTTCAGGCGTACCAATAGGGCAGTTGCTCTGCACAGAACAACAGGCAGATTTTCAGCACAATTTGAAATGGTGTCATTGGAGTGAAAAGCTATTGAGGGCTTTCTGCCCCCCGGCCCGAGACAAGAAGATCTGTTCCCCTAGCCAGGGGAAGGTGCTAGCTGTTGGCAGCTCTGTACCCCCACATAGTTAAATGGGTGCTTGTTTGGTCACGTAGCCTAAATATCCTCTGACGCTGTCAAATGCTGCTTGAAAACGCAGATGTTTGCAGTCCTTCTGTTCACGATTAGGACTTTTCAAGGGTAACATGTGATGTGTTATTGACTGGTTGACTTTATGGAGAGGCTTTTGTTTTCCAGCCCTCTTAATAGAAGGGTGACCTAAATGTGTTGGTTTGGTTTTTTTTAAATCCATTTTGCAGAGTGGTGCTGCTGTGGTTTTTAATTTATAACCAATTGCTAATTAGGCCAAACATCGATGGGCATTTCCTATTTATTTTGCCCTTTTTTGCTTGTTTGGTCAAGTGCATGCATGTGTGTGTGAGCTGCTGCTTTTCTGTTAGTGTTATTTGCAATCATTTCACAGCCTACTCCTGGCACTTTACAGGCTGTCTCCCCACCAGAGACTGCTGCTCGAGAAACACTGCCTCCACCAACTGTCCTGTCCTCCTGTTGCTTTTAATAGTTGGACACCCCAGAGTCTAATAATGATACTTTATTTGTCAGCGTTCATGACTTACTTGCAGAAGCCTGTAGAAGAAAGAATTAGGAGTTGCTGAAGGGATGCGGGAGCAGAAGGGAGGGACAAATAACCCAGCAGGGGAGCACAAGGAGCACTACAAGGGTTATTGCCCTCAAACAAAGGTGAAAAAAATCCTGAGGAATTGCTTGCAAACAGCTCTTTTAGGTCCGGGTTAAAGACTGCTAACAAAGGAAGTCCTTTGGCACATTTATTTTGCCTTCATTGATAAGTAACTGTGAATCTCTTCTTTCTAAGGTTTGTACAGATTGAATGATCAAGTGATCACTGCTCAGGCATGTGTTTTGGAATCATGATGGACTAGATGCTTTCCACCGATGCTTCCCACTGCTGTTCATCCTGATGTCTTCTGTGCCAATGCTATGTCTGAATACTAACCCTTTTTTTTTGTCACATCTGTCTTCTTGCAGGCATATATGCTGAAGTCATTTGAAATGAATGGTCTGCCCAAGGCGGTGCCTTTAAGTTTGCCTTATCAAGACTTCAGAAAAGATGTGTCAGACTACTGGGAAAGGCCTAAGGTATCCCAGCGTATAAAGAAAGTTGATTTCTCAAATGTTGTCTTGACTGCTCCTTGCAAACCTCTGGAACATTATCTGGAAATGAATGGAAAAGAGGAGGAGGAAGAAGACCAGGAAGAAGATGAGGAGGAGGAAGACGAGGAGGAGGAGGAGGAAGAGGTGGAGGAGGAAGGGGATGAAATTGACATGCACAGTGGTTCCAGCAGCGACCTGAGTCAAAAAAGCACAGAGCGCAGCCAGGAGTGCGCACCATCCACGCTCCTGGCTGATGACCAGAAGGGATCCAAAGGTCGAGCGTCCACTGCTGACGGGGACCTGGAGCTGGAGGAAGGCTCAAAAACACTAGTGCTGTTTTCACCAGGTGATCTGAAAAAGTCTCCGGTGACCACAGACTTGGCTCCAGAAGTTGATCTGGGCACTCTTGCTGCACTGACACCTCAGAGTGAGCGGCCACAGCCTATGGGTAGCCAACTGGATGTATCTGAGCCAGGGACCCTGTCCTCAGTCCTTAAATCTGAACCAAAGCCTCCCGTGGCAGTGGCTACAGCTTCCTCCCCCTTTACCAAAGTTGAGCGCACATTTGTTCATATTGCTGAAAAGACCCACTTAAATGTCATGTCTTCCAGCGGCCAGCTGATGAGGCATGAGGAATACTGCCCTCCGGGGCAGTTTGAGGAGGTCATTATTGAAGAAGAGCTGGAGGACAACCTGGTGCTGGTAGAGAATGGAAGCATACATTCGGGACTGGAAGGGGCAGAGACGGAGAGCTGTGCACTTTCAGCTAATCACATTGAAACCACCTCAGAGGCAGTGGGGGAGCAGCTGGCACTTCCCAATGGCGTAGCAAAGCCTCCTGAGGACAAGCCAGAGCTCGCCAACAAAGTGGTGCTCTCACTGGATTTGGAAGAGCCTGGCAAGATGGCTATGAGGGAGCCTGACCTTGCGAAGTCAGCATCGGTGACAGAACACCTGAAGCGAGCAGAGACCCTCCTCGACACATCACAAGGCCCCAGGAGACCTCTGGGCTCCAGGTATAGAAGTCGGATACCCATTTTGTTCTCTGAGGAGGACACCGGCTCAGACCTTTCAACTTCACTCTCGGCCAAAGAGAGGCTTTATAAGAGGGCAAAGCAACCTGACTTGGCTCGCCTAGTGATGGAGAAGAGGCAAAACCGCCTCCTTCGGCTGGCCTCAGGGGCCTCCTCCTCAGCATCCTCCAGCGATGAGAGGCGACGGGCCTCAGAAACCCTGTCAGCCACTGGTTCTGAGGAGGACACTCATGACTCTGATGACTCCATCCCAAGGAAGGCAGGGAAGGAGAAGGCTGCCCTCCTGGGGAAAGAAGAGAGACCCATAAGCACAAAGAGCAGAATTCCTAGGCCCATCACACCAGTGAAAACGCCGCTAGAGATGGCCAAGTCTGAGAGCTCCACGGCTGTTGCGATGGCAGTGTTATGTAGCTCCCCCCAGGATGCAGCTGTTGCCCATAGGTAAGACCAAAACGGTGAGCGATGCAAAATGTTGGACTTGTTAAGGAGGCGTAGCCAGGGCTTCGCTCCACTCCCACTGCTTTACCTTTCCACTTGGCTTCAATGTGGAACAGTCCATCACTGTTTCCTACAGTCATTTCAGCTCACTGGTGTGTGAAATTCCTACCTCTCTGTCTTCTTTGGGTCAGACTGGCCAAAGGGCCAAGCCCTTCTTCACTTGCCCTGGCTTGGAGGCCTTCTTCCCTTCCACGAGCTTTCATTTGGTCTGATCCTGCTAATAGCAGATCCTTCTGGTGTTGAGCTCTCAGTTTTGCAGCATACTCGGCACAGCCATGACTCTGCAGGGAGACCTGGCCTGGCTGTTGCGATTAAAGCTGCAAGGGCTGTGAGGTTGCCAGTTGTGATCGCCTCAGAAGATGGCCAGCACGCAAAGAGCTGGAGAGAGGGAGGTGCACACGCATGGGCTTTTGCAGTGACCTGGAACAGCACGGGCCACCTCCACGTGGTCTGAATTCCCTCCACGACCCTGTGACTTGGTTTTTTTGGAGGTGCCTGGCTCTCTATCAAACAAGCAGGAGATGTAAGTAGAGGTGGACCTTCTGAATTCACCAGTGTTTGGCTTTTCTGCCTGGTCTCAGGGCGGGAAGTCCAGCCGAGGAGCAGAGCTGCTGAGGTGGCTCTGCTACAGGTCCAGCAAATTCTGCCCTTTCAGAGACGTGGGGTGAAAGGAGGGGATCCCTGTGGGTTGGTTTATCTTCCAGCACAGTTACCATCAGAGGCCAACTGGTGCAATCCAGCTCATGCCCATGTTCCCAGATTGTATCTCTTGCCTTGAAAGAGGTTCTGCATCCATGCGGCATGTTAAGAGGAGTCCCAGATTTGTGCTATTGGCCAAACCATGCCTGCGTGGTGTCCCAGAGGGTGCTGGAGGATCAGGGCAAAGACTTACTAGTTAACAGCATTGAGAGTTACAAGATGGTGTTCAAACCAGTGCCCCATCTTGTTCGCAGCATAGCTCCTGTCGTCCTGATGCTGGAGACTCTTTGTAATTGCCCAGCAACATTCGTGCCAAACCTGCCAGAAGCCCCGAGCCCCTTGCAGAAATTTCTCTTAATCCTCTCTCTTCTTATCCCTTGCAGGCTTCAGGCACAGAGACCAGCTGGAAGTGTCCCAAATGAGTGCCGGACAACACAGATACAAAGTCGGCTTCCTCCTTCGCCGAGCTCCACTTCTCTTCCTCCACGGAGCAGCTCACGGAGATCCAGCTGTGCATCCCCTCGGAGCCCTGTCCTTCCTTCAAGAAACCCCAGTGCTTCCCCCAGAAGCCAGCTGCCGCCTCGGAGGGAAAGTCCTTCTCCCTGCCGACAGCATAAGCCAGGGACTGCTCTTCAGCGAGTTCCTTCTTCCCCCCGACCTCAGCCCCCAGCTCAGGCCCTGGGGCCGACAGGAGATTCCTTGCCCTCTCCTGGTGTGGCCAAAAAACGACAAAGAGGAAAAACCCAGACTCAGAGTCCAGCAACCAAAGGAAAGCAGGTGTCCCTGGAAAGTAAGGCAGCTGCCAGATAATGATCTTCTTCTGCCAGCCCAACAGACTGGGTAACTTCTGCATATAGTATACACTTGAGATGCTGCAGCACAGCCTTCCATGCTGGACCCACGAGTGTATAGCAGTAGCTGTACTTCAATGCTTCACTCACTCTCACCCCACACCGTCGCGATCAGCTCCCACGGGCCTGAGACCCTCTGAGCCACGGAGCCTTCTTCAAGGGAGACATCCAGCCCGCAGCTCACGCTTGCTAACGCACAGCACCAAGCAGCGACCCAGGCAGCCTGCCTAGTGCCTGACCCTCCTCCCTCCCCGGGCATTCCCCTCTCTCTGTTAGCAATACCAGTCGCCAACGCTGATCCTGGCTTTGGAAAGAGGAGCAGAGGTGACGAGAGTGAGGCCTGCTGGAGAGGAAGGCTCCTGTCCTGCAGGCAGCTCCCTCTTCTCTCCTTGCTGGGAAAAAGCCAGCCTTGGCCACCACCATCTACCTGAGTGTTGGCTCGCCTCCTGCCACCTGTGTTAGCAAGGGGTTGTCACCAGCGTAGCCAAGAGGGATGGATGCATCCTTGTGTGCTGAGATAAGAGCAGGGGCAGAGTGGAGAGGGCTCTTCTCTCCTTTCCAGAGATGCCTCTGCAGGTGGGAATGGGAGACAGGCAGGTCTCGCTGGATGCTCCTACCTGCTCCAGTATGTCCCACAGAGGAGGCCGTCCGGCATTGCTGCTCAGCGACACTGCTGCTGTTTCAGCAGTGGTGGGTATTTAGATGGAAGTAGGGGTGTATTGGTAGCTTGCTAGGAAATCAAGAGCGCTTGCTAATTGATGTAGAAGGGAGCACACTGCAGCCGCTTCTGTCTCAAATACCAAACTGTGATCTGTGGAGACCACATCTCCCAGCGTGGGTGGTTCCTCTCGACCTGAGTGGGGTTGGTGCCACAGACCCATAGTCCACCAAACACAGCTCCACCCTGAAGATGTGAATAGTCACTGGATGCCTTTAGCTTGGGTGCCCCTTGCACCTAAATTCCTTGTGCTTTATTGTCACGCTCTTGGTGTTTGTGAATTTTGGCACTGTGGTTGAAAGTTCCCCTACACAGCAGGGTGGGAAATTATTATCCTGTAGTATACTCAAAAGCTGCTGCTTTGCGAGGAGAGGTTTGCTGGCACACTGTGGGTACCTTGTGCGTTTCTATCCGAGAGCACAGCAGGTTGAGTTGCAGAGGTCGAGTTTATGTCTTTCTCTTTCTCGGTGCTCAGCTCTTCCACACGTTGTGTGAGAACTAACAAGGTGAATGTAAAAGCAAGGGCTGTGCTCTTCAAGTAATATTATCAGAGCAGAAGCTTAGCGCTCAGCTAGTACTAAATCAACCAGCTTTTTAGCCCCCAGACTAATTAGGGAGGTTTGAAAATGAAAGCCAGGAGGACTGATACCGATCTGAGCTTGGTGAGATCTTGAAGTAGTCACAAAATTTTCCCCACACCTCACAGGGGAAAACACTCCAGACCCAAATACTTTGGGCTCCACACCGTCGTTATGCCTAAAAGAGGTTTTGCTTGAGGCAGAACAAAAATGCGGCTGCTCTGTACACCCATTCCCACAGCTGCAACTAGCTGCAAATATTTACTATTTGCAGACAATGAAGCTTGATAGAGGAATCTGGGCAGTAATAACCTTGATTCGTTTGAACATAGATACAGTCACACTGATGGCCATCGAGTCTGAGGAATCCTGAAGTTGTTCACATCTACAGGAACTGTTCTGGAAAGGAGCATGAGAGCTGTGATGGGGTGGCAGGGAGAACAGGGTACTCCTTTGACATCTGAACAGGGAAATGTCTAGAAGTAGGTGACAGGAATTACCTCTTTATATGACAGTCTCAGTGTTGCCAATGCTAAGAACTTATTTCATCTATCTCAAAGTGTTTGCTCTTTCATCATTTCACGGTGAAACATTTTCATCGTGAAATGATGAACATTTTCAGTGATGTTGAACATCATTGATGTTCACCCCGGTAAAGTAAGAAGCACAGCTTCTAATCTAAAAACATGCCCTCATCTCTGCAGAGAAGTGTTGGGAACTTCAAGGTCAGGTTGTGGTTTGATGGACTGAGCTGGTGTTGCCACCGACAACAATGGCCCTTCCAGGTTCCAGTTGCTTCATTGCACTGTACCACCCCCCTACACTGGGGAAGCTATTTGGTGAAGTGGCTGGAAATACTGATCCAGCATGACACCAAACGCACTGGTTTGCTGGGTTGGTTTTCATCTGGTTCAGTTCATCATTTGGTCACACAACAGAAGTAGGGGAAGAAGAGGACAGAGAGTGTGACCAGTTCTTCTGGTGGCACTGTAATTTCATTTGAGTTTGAAGTATGGGTCAAACTACAACATAAATATGCCCTGCATGTTTAGAAACTAGAAAACAGAATAAACCCAAACACAGATTCTTTCCAGAAATATAAACTGTAATGGCACTCCTATTAATTTGTTTGGGGTCTGTTCATTTTAGAGTGCTCAGATGGTAAGACTTTGTTGTGAAGCCTTTACCAGATGCTCCATCCAGGTCTTAGATACACCTGCCAAAAATGACATAAAAAGAACTTGGAAAGAGGGCTACAGGGCTATTAACAGGGTTAGAAAACCTGCCTTATCGTGGGAGGCCAATAAAGCACAATCAACGTACTTGTTCAAGAGAAAGTTTAAAGGAGAGTTTTCCGTGCCCCAGCTATACCCACGTCAGGAAGAAAGCTCCAGGGCAGAGATCTTCCATCTGGCACATGAAAGCAGGGAAGACGGAGTAGCCAGGAATGGCGGATGAAGAAATCGGGCAGGCTTTTAGTTGTGAAGTGACTGTCCAGTGAAATCTTTCACAGGAATGTGGGGAGTTTTTCTTATTAAAAGGTTTCCTCAGAAACCTACTGTCTTCTAAGAGGTCTTCCTACCATGACCCAACCACAGGTAGCAGGCAGGATGCTGGTGACACCAAGGTATCATCTCTCTTTGTGGTGCAGTAGGTTGGTGGTCCTGCTGGACACATCCCAAAGCTGTCACATGTTGGAGAGCCACCAGACAGGTCCCGCCACTTTGAGAAAGCCAGTGGAAGACTTCCAGCACAGAAAATGACAGCCGTTCCCCATGTTGTTTGACAGGGCTGGGCTGAGGGTGCAGCTGAGTCCACAGAGATCTGGGGCTGGCATGAGTCATCTCTCCTTGTGGTTGTGCTACCAGCCTCCCTGCCCCAGCGCAGCCCTGCTTCCTGGCTCTCCTTGGTATGGAAGGGAGCAGGAGCACGCCTCAACACCGTGGTGCACACCTGGTCGTTTTGGATGAGAGAGGGCTGTGCCATCAGGTGTGACAGCAGTGAGAGATGGCTGACTGCAGCAATGGTTTCTCCCCAGAGAGCCTGAGCAGGAGCTGCCGGGCAGTGTCACTGAAAGGTGATCATTCCTGCGAGGCCTGACTGTCCCCATCTATCCCTCAGGTTTGGGTCTCCAGACCTGCTCCTCTTCCTAGCGGCAAGAGATGCTGTGATCCTGGCTGGATGTCACATTGCCTCTTTCATTCCTTCACTGACGTTATTTTTACAGAAGCTTTGGTGCTGGGCTTTTCCGGTTAAGTGGATATCAAGAATTTGCTAACAAGAAGCGGTCCACAGAGCTGTGTTTAGCTGGCAGAGCCGGTCGCAGGGCGCTGCCTGGCCCAGGCATGCTCGTAAGCCCCGTTAGCAGCCTGCGTGCCTCAGGAAGTGATGGCTTGATGCCTCTTTCAGGTGTCAGCAGAGGGACTTGAGAAAGCCCCTGCTATGTGGGTGCTGCTCTGGATCTCCTCTCTGGCTCTGATTTTCAAGGTTCTGCCCTTCAGTTGCTCAGTGGTGAGTGTGACCCCAGAGTACTCCCATCACCGGGGTGCTCAGCACACCCTGCTTGCAGAAGTTCCCATTCCTCTTGTGTGTCTCTCTGGAGGGATTTTCTGGCAGGCAGGCGGACCAGCAGTGATGCTCTCTGCTAGTGTCACTGTGAAGACAGCCCTGAAAAATTGTCAACAACTCCTCTGGGTCGTCTCACCCTCTCTTCTTCCTCCACACCTCAGGGAGGCTGGAAGGGCACCTGCCATAGTTGGAGCAAACACATGAGATCATGTCTGGAGGCAGAAGGGGATGAGGTCTGTGATGTTAGGGAGAAGTTAGGTGGTTGAGGGATGCAAGATGATCCAGTCCAGCATCACAGGACATGGTGGGTTGTCACATCCCAGAAAGGCAGAAGACGCAAGACCCTGCTCTTCTTTGCAATGAAACATGGTGTGCAAGCTCTGTCAAGCCTTGAGGACACACAGGGCTGCTCAAACACTGCTGTTGGTCTGCAGCTGCGTCCTTGCTTCACTGCAAAGAAGAGAAGATCGAAGAGAAGATTGAGCTGACTAGAGCAGAGGAAATGGCCAGGAAAAATAAAGAAAACTGTTTGGGGGCAGGGGAGGAGAAGCAGTCTTCTCAGCACTTTTCCATGTTTGGAGGAATTTCTGGGAACAGCCTGACACTGCCTGGTTCCCCACCAGTATGTTTGCTGCAGGGTCTGTCCTGGCCAGCTGCAGATGGTTGTGCCCATGTGTGTTTTGAGGGGACTCCTGGGACAGGCTGCCACCCTGCCTGCATCTGTGTGTTCATGTGCATGGGTGGTAGGAATGTATAGGATTTGTTCAGAGGACCATTGTGGGGTCCTGTGTGTGTTGGGAGCATAAGTGTCTTTGGGACCGCCTGGTATCATGAGATACAGTAAATGCTCTGCTGAGAGTCTTCGCTTTGCTGGGGTCTGCGAAGGTCTCACCTGCTTTCTTATCTGCCAGCTGAGAAGATGGCATGTTGGTTGGTAAAAATGGGTCGATGGCTGCTGTCTGGCAGAAGATGTTTGCAAAGAAACAGGGATACAGGGGAAGACGTGCCAAGTAGCAAATCTGAAAGGCGGTTCTCAGCACCAAGCCAGTGTGATGACAGGTTGTGTGAGCAGAGGAGGCAAAAGGACCAATGGCA